CCGATGAGTGGTGTCTGTGCCTGAGGCACATTGGCCGGGAGCTGAACCTGGGTCTCTGTGTAGGAGACGAGAATGCTATCACGGAACCACTCATGTCTCCATGTTGGCACCTTGTGTCTTGTCCACACTGCACTTCCAGTGCTCAGCCCGCTATAGGAAAAGGGCATCATGCGTGGTTAAGGGAGGGGCGGAGAACAAGAGAAAGACCCCGTGAAAGAGGGATTGACACAGTGGCTGCACAGCGCGCTCAGACAAGAGCTATTGTGAGGGTGGCGCAGGGCTGGGTGGTGCCTTATTCTGCCAGACTCAGGACCAGACTTGATGGCCCCTCACAACAGGTAGTAGTTGTGTGTTGAATGACGGAGTCTTCCTACTGAAGATAGCACTCAATCTGCTTGCTGAAGGAACTGAGTTTGCAAACAGTCAAGTTTACCATGGCTGTCTTTGTAGGGCGAAAGTAAGATCACCAGTCTTCTAAATTTGGGTTCTAAGGAGCTGTGTCTCATTAAGGTTACTGGGGCCGGGGCTGCTTCCGTGGTCAGGGACAGTAGTTTTCCAAGTGACCACCAGGGGGCCACACGCGGGCAGAGAAAAACTGCGGGTCAAGTTCTCAGCTTCCGAGAGAGAGCTTGCCCCTCTCCCTTCTTACAAGCACTTTTTAAGAATTGGCTGCAGCCTTGGCTGAGACCACTTTACTCATTTGTGAGGAATTTGGGTTTTGCGGCAATGTTCGTTTGGGTTCTCGTGGGAGTTTTTAATGGTTCTGGGTTTTAATGCCAAGAGCTATTGTCAGATGAAAAAGAGCCATTTCTGTGACGTGCAACCTGAGGTAGAGGGATCTCAACAAACAAAAACAAACAAACAAACTCACCACAATCGAATTGATTTTTACTCAGAGTGACAGGGTAGAACTGTCCCTGTGGGTTTCTAAGACTGTTTAACTCTTTACAGGAGTAGAAAGCCTCATCTTTCTCCCACAAAGTGGCTGTTGGTTTCAAACTGGTGACTGTGCGGTTAGCAGGCCAACAGGTCATACCCACTACGGTATCAAAGTCAGTAACCAGGGAGTGGTCCTGGAGCAGAAGAGGGAGCTGGATAGGAGTCTGAGGCCACCCCAGTTGCCAAAATACTGAATATGATTTCAGGGCCTGGTGTTCTTTCCAAGAGTGGAGATCTCTTTGGGATCCTGTTTGCTAATGGTGGGTCCTGCCCAGACCCTTCCTAGGGCCCTAAACCAGATTTGCTTGTTTGTTTTTCTGAGACGGAAATATTAAGGCCCAGTTCGTGATGAAATCAATAGGTAAGGCAACTTAGTAAGTGAGGCATAGGCCAAAGGCTAGGGGACTGAGTGGCAGACATTGTGACTTTGCTCAGGTGTTCACTCTTGTGGGCTCTCAGTGTGATGTGCGGGCTGACAAACCCTGGGTCTCTCCCAGTTTCATGGCCAATACTCCGTTTCCTTGACTCGCATGGCCATCCTGGCTCTGTCCTGCACACACACCGTGGGCATTTGCACCTCTGCTCAGACTGCCTTCCCACCTAGCGAGGCCTTCCTCCATTGGACTTGTCGACACCTTAAAAGCCATCAAGATGAAGCCCCTCCACCTTGATGGGCCTCTCTCCTCAGAGCTCAGTTATGACATGCACTATCCAGAGCCTGAATCTTCTTTCCCAGAATGCACCTTCCCTCCCAAGGGAAGGGCCCTCCTTTGCTGTGGTGTTCCTCATAACCCAGAGTGGGCATCCACGACACGGATGGGGCTTTTGCTCTTGAGGGGCCGATAAAGGCTGGCATGTAGAGAACAGTAGGGAAGGTGCTCACTAAGCTAAGTACACCTATGTCCGACAGGAGAGCGGTGTCAATTTTCCTCTTGTCTCTCCCCCATACCTCCTCTCTTGAGGCCAAGTCCAGGGGCAGTAAGTTGGTTGGCTGGCACCAAGGGCTAGCAGAAGCAGAAGGCATCTTAGCAGGTTATGTTTTCCGATAGACTTTTGAGTCTTTGGGCACCAGTGGGTTTCAGCAAGTTGAGGAGTATTGGGACAGTGGGTTTTATTATTAAAATCTTCCCTACACTGTGCTAGACCCAGAGCAAAGCCCTCTGTGCTCACAGTGCCAATTACAGGCCCCAGATCACCACCTGCCTGAGAGGGCGTTTGGGAGGAAGGAAGAAAGGTCACTGCCATCAGGGTGAGGGCCTCAGAGCACCCCTCTAGGACTGAGGAGAACCACCCCTGGGGGCTTCTGAGGCTGGATCTTTACAGGAGTAGAAAGCTTCATCTTTCTCCTGCAGGCCTGCTACTTGTTTCAAACTGCTGACCTCGGGCTTAGCAGCCCAACACGTACATCTCTCTACCACCCACGCTTCTAAGAGAAAGGAAGGAAGCGTCCTTAATTCTGAGCTGGGAGGAAATGGTGGCGCTACAAGGAAGATACTTCGAGCCCAGATGTCGGGCCGTCACTTGTGTATTCTCAATATGGAGGCTAAGAAGGAGGCATGGAATGCTCTCTCTGAAGGTGAGCAGAATAACAGCTAAATGCTCTTACAAGGTGGCAAAGAGGGGTTGGGTGATGCGAGCAAGTGGACGGGCTTTGTCATGTTCTGTCAATCCTACAGCATCCTCCATCTCTCCACAGTGATTTCCCATCCCTTTCCCTCTAAGCTCTTTGACAGATTAGTGGGGCCCAAGGCTGGCCTGGGGGCTACATTTGCTCACCCGTTTGGGATGCAGCCTCCGCAGCAAAGTCCGCAGCAAACTTCTTGAGAACCTCAGCGCTGTCTTCCTTCACAAAGAGGCCGATGAAGTTGGAGGAGGTATAGAGCTCCAGGGGAAGAGGGGCTGAGAATTTACATTTCCAGCGACCGACGGTGTTCTGCAGGGCCTCCCCCAGAGCCTCCACCTTGCTGTCCTCACACTGGCAGAAGCAAACAAACCGGCCTCATTCAGAAAGGGGGGACTAGGAACCTGCTGCCACTTAACATGTGACATCCTCCTCACAGGGCCTTGAAGCTGATGATGCGATTTCTTAAGGACCTGCAGACTCCCAATGCTCACACATGGAATATCCAACTTGGGAAATGAATTGGGAGGATGGGCAACCTTTGCCCTCCCTTCCTGCTCTGATGCGGCCCCTTTGAGCCCAGCCAGAAGACAGGCGGACTGGGCTCGCAAAAAGGTAAAGATGGATGCGTGTGACAGGAGGGAGTGGCAGCGCTCCAACAGCAATCTGTGTACTCTTGGGCTGCTTCGCTCCCTCTATCTCTCCCTGCCTCTTCGGTGATTCTAGTCCCACCCTCATTGCAGTTGAGAAGAATGAGTCTGTGACGCCCTCCTCCGCCCTCTGCAGTGTACTGGAAAGAAAGAAGAAGGGGTGTCTCTCGCCGCTGAATGTGTTTGCGAAAGATCCTGGGATGACTAAGAGGAAGTGACAATCACTTTAATTTTGAGGGTGGATGGTAAATGAGAAGGTTTGGAACATACTTTTGCCTACCCGCCTTATCGCCACCTCCCAACCCCCTCTACCTGCAGAAAAGAAGAGAGAGAGAGAGAGAGAGAGAGAGAGAGAGAGAGAGAGAGAGAGAGACACGCGGGGAGAGAGAGAAAGAGAGTCTGGGGAAAACAAACCAATCTATTCAAGTATCTTCAAGTACTACCATTCTGGCTCACTTTGAATATCCTTGGTTAAATCAACACCTGTCTACCTCTAAAGACTTGACAGTAGATGCAATGTACCTCTATCTTCGCCATTAAAGGTATTTCATCTATCCACTAAATGCACTTTCTGACAGCTAGGTGATGATGGTCAATATAAAAAGTATCGGTGTTCTCTCTAGAAAGATCTAGAAGTCCTGAGTGGTGCAAATGGTTAATGTGCTTGGCTGTTAACCAAAGGTGAGAGTCCACCAAGAGGTGCTTCAGGAGACAGACCTGCAGACCTAGTTTACAAAAATCAGCCCCTAAAAAATTCTGTAAAGCCCAATTCTGCCCCATGGGCTCTGTAGAGGGTCATCAAGGCTTGGAGTCAATTCAATGGCCCGTGGTTTAGAAAGATGTAGGGGGGCAGTAACCTGTGGATTGTGTTCCACAAAAGGGCAGTAGCTTCTCCATGTGTGCCACGCTCCCACCTCTCCCTGTTTTATTCTTTCCTTGTCATAAGAATGGAGAGGGTCGATAATGGACAGGGATGGAGCTGGGGCACAAGGCTCATGTCCCAGGGTCCCTGGGAAAAGGCGAACATCAGGAATACTATATCAAACCTAGTGGACATGCTCAGCAGGTAGTAGGAAAGTGGATCTGGGGTGGGAATCTAGCTGTGGACCTCAATGATCCATTGCAGGCCTGTCAGACTCTCGCACCAGTTGTCCAAGAGTAGACCGGCTCGCGGTAGCCCTGTGCGTGTCTATTAGAACTGCACACCAGGGGCGCCCAGTGGTTGGTTTCTCAGGAGTCAGTCACCAGCTCTTTCTTTTAAGGTGCCAGTGGGTGCGACCTCTAACCTTTCAGTTAGCAGCCAACCCCTTTAGCCATTTGTCCCACCCGGGACCTTCCTGGCTCCAGGAGCTTCTGTCTGTTCTTGGGAACTTGCAGACAGGCTCTCGACTTCAGCTCCGGGTCTCAGGTGGCTGGCAGGGCCCTGGGAGCCAGGCCCTCCATGGGCTGGGGGACAGTAGCTCACCATAAAGAACTGGCAGAGGGTGATGTGGGGGAAGATGTTGTGCGCCTTGTTCTTCCCGCAGATCTGCTTCGACTGCTGCCAAAAGTCAGAGAGCTTTTGTGCTAAGGGCCCAGTGGGGCGGAGGTAGAGGACGTACTCCCGGGGCAGGGGGTCATCCAGAAAGGGGTCACCGACATGGGCGAATAACCTGCAAAACAAAGGGGAGCCGAGGAGGCGGCTCTTGAGACAATTGGGGTGCTTCATACCCTGGCCGGGGACTGTAGAGAGAAGGGTTTTCATTCATGCTTTAAAAATCTACCCTTGGAAGCTCACACTTCATAACCAGCTTCCAAGCACATCAGCCCCTCTCTTCTCTTGGCACTCCCCCTCTCCCCAAACCCTGAAATTCACCCCAAGGATAAACTCCAAATCCTTCCCCAACCCACTAGCAGACTTCTAACCTATTCCTGTGTCTTCAGTTCAGTGAGGCAACCTATGTGCATCCAAAGATAGGAAACTTCTGCAGGGTCACTGGTGCGGGCTCCACTAGTGCTCTTCTAGGGGAAGGAAGCTGTTTTAAATGGATCTGCTCAGGAGCCACACACGTGGAGTGTATCTTTGAGTGACCAGAAGGGGGCAGGTATTATTAGAGGGAGGCTATCTCTGAAACACGTTGAATTCCTTTAACAGCTTCAAGGAGAAGGACATCCAAGGGCCAGTGCGAGTGGGGAGGAGGGCAACTGACTTGATAAATGGGCTTGTCACATAATCTTTCGGCTCATCTCCCCCCAGGAAGCATCCATTAGAGGAACACTGCACATCTCAGCTCATCCACATACGCTCAGAGTTAATTACATGCTATTTTCTCAATTTATTTATTTCATACCAACCAGTCACATGCTGCCTGAACGCTTCTTCCTCCCGTGGAAGCCAAGGCTTTTTGTCTGAAAGAGAAATCAAATTTCTATTGTTAGTATTTTTAGCCCTGCATCAGCTCTTCTCATGGCAACAACAAAAGCTGAATGTGAGCCTATGTCTCATTCAGTCTTCATGGGTGTGCGGGAGTCACGTTGTGCAGGATTCACCCCCAAGGGTCAGTTCGAGGCATAGGGAAGTTCAGATGTGTAATTAATTTACATGCAATTAGCACTGGCTTTGCATGCAGCCTGACAGTTGATGCCATCTGTTTTCAGTCGTATCCACATTCCTGTTGTTTTTGCTTCCCTACATGTTGCCCTGGCTTGGTTTTTCCTGTTTTGTTTCCACCACTCACTCCTACTGCCCCAGATCCCCTACAGAGCACATTCTTGTTGGCAGCCTCTCAACAGGCGATGTTAGAAAGTGGTGGTGCTGGTATTAAGGCCTGGGACAAAGTGTTATAAGGACCCGTGTCTGCCAAGGCTCCTCTTTGTGGATTCCAACCACCAACCTTTTTGGTTAGTAGCTGAGAGCACGCAACTGTTTCACCATTCAGCAACTTCCATGGACATTGGAACACAGATACCAAATGGGCCCGACAAAGATGTCTGTGCCCTCAAGAAGAATGATGTTATAAAAGATAAGCCTGGTTATAGCAAGATGAAGTAATAGACTCCTCTTACCCCCTTGGAACAAAAGCTGGTGGCAAAGTCTGACCAAGGACCGGGCACACAGAGACACATCCCCACATCTTGACAAGTTGCTTAATTGCAGCCCATTTCCAGGCCTCTCTGTTTTGCTTACAGCTTACAGGACAATCAGAAACCACACATCGCACTTTCCCAGATCCAGAAGTCACGCCTTCACACAAGAGCACCAATCATGGCCTTTTTTCACTGCAGACTCTGAGAGATTAAATTCACCAAGGAAGGACTCATTGTTTCAAAAACAATGGGGAAATGGGAAAACTCATTTGTGGTACAGAGGATGGGCTATTTATATAAAGGACCCAATTTCTTTCTTCTCCCTCCTTCTCTAAGTGAAAAAAACCATCCTACTGAAATTTAATTTATTCTTCTTAATGCACTAAGAGTATCCTCCAGAAATGAAAGGTCCAATTAAATTATGTTCTTTGTAATGCAAAAGATGAGTTTTCTAGAGGGTTCAAAGGAGAAAAAATGAGACAGATAATTAAAAGTTTGGGTCATAAGGGCTATGATGAAAGATTCAAGGAAGCAGCCAATGCACAGAGAGGACCATATGCACAGAGAGGCCCCACTATGAGACACAACATCCCTCACTGAACCATAGCGCTATGGGGACAACACTGGAGACACAGTGTGGGAATTACCCCTGATCTGACCACACCACACCGACGCGAAACACTAAGGGTGTGCAATAGCACGGCAAAGGGAGCAGAGCAATGAAGATGCCAGGGAATACTAAAAATAGACTTAGGGGCCAGGGCATGGCACCCAATCAGATTCCACAGGAAAACACCCCTAAAGGTCAACAAACAGACCTTGAACTATTTATAGGCTTTTCTCTTTTTTGCTGTTGGTTTTGTTTTCTTTTGTTGCTTTGTTTTACTCTGTCTTGTTTTTTGTGCATATTGTTATCTACAGGTCTATCTAGATAAGATGGGCGAGATAAACAATCTGGAGGAGAAAACAA